TTTCTGCACCCCCTCCTCCGTGGGAGGCCCCCTCACCGCCACCTCTGCTTTACCGAGCGCCCCGGTTCCCTGGTTCTGCCCTCTCCCTCCCATTGACGGTTGGCTTTTGGAAAAGCCCTCAGTTCAAATTCCCCATCCATGAACCTTCCAGAGACGCGGGCCCTCTGTCACTGTCCTCTCCTCCCACCTGCCCGGAGCCCTGGGCCCTAGCGCTCCGCTTCTCCCTTCCCGGTCCCCCCGGTGAAGCCGGTACTTTCTTTCATCCTCTGATTCCCTCCCCAGCCGTCAGCCTGTTCGGGCTCCCTGCCCATGAGACCCGAATCAGCCCCAGTCCCCGGGCACTGTGAGCACCTCGATGTCCAGTGTGTGCCAGGTGGGCATCAGGGGAGCCCCGCCTGTGGCTTCCTCTGTCCCAGCTGTGCAAGGCTTGACCTGGGCCTCCCTCCCCAGCCTGCCCCGCCCCCTCAGGCCCCAGGCTCGAAGGTGCTGCTCCCAGCTAGCTCTCAAGGGTGCTAACTCTCAGCATCAATTCCCCAAATTCTAAGAGGCACCTGTTTTTCTTCACATTGTTGAAATGAATTTGTGTCTTCCACTTGACCTGTTTCTTTAGTGTGGTACTTGGTTTGTTTCTAGGAGACCCTTCTCCCCACGCCCTAAATATGTGACTTAGCTCATGGTGAGCCTCGCAATCCATGGCATTTCAGCCCTGGGGAAACATAAATGAATAGTACAGTCGGAGACATCTGGAGATTATTGTAACCCAAAGGAAGAACTCTAGGGGGGGAAATTGTAGGTTGTCTACCGATGGGGAATTTGGGGATGTAAGTATTGTTCAGATGTCATTGATCTTTGGCTTGTCATGGGCCCAGATATTCCACCCTTAGGACTTCAAGCCTCTGGACTGAGACCAAATAGAACAGGGATTGCCTTCTACTTTCACAGACCCACATGGCACAGGCTGCAGAGAGGCAGGGGTCCCCGAATGTGTGTCTCCCGGCTTCCGTTCCTTTTTGAGCAGGGTGCTGAGACAGAGAAACCTCTGGGGATGAAGAGGCCGGGGAAGAGGAACAGAGTCCCCAAGAGGAAGTTATTTCTGCAGGTAGAAATAGCCTGGAACATTATGGGACAAATACTTTTGTTCATCTTTCTCTTGCTGCCCATTCTGGAGGGAGAGCACCTGTTCTCATGGCCCAGTGCACCACCTGAAAGGCACAGACTGCAGAAGAGGGGCCCCCTTTCCAGGCGAGGGCACTCATCCTCTTTCTAAAGGGTCCCCGTACAAATCTGAAGACAGGGTGGGCACCCTTGTGTGCCAGGAGCGGCTTGTGGAGGAGCTGCCCCTGCTTTTCCTGGTGGTGAGAGAGGCTCCAGCAGTGCCCAAGGGGGAGGACGCTGGCCAGCCACGCCTGACCTGTCCCTGCCAAGCCGCAGCCAGAGCTCACAGGAGCCTTCCTCGCCACTCTCCTCCCCACTCCCCCCATTCAATTTCAAACCGGTTTGACTTCCAGCCGCATGCAGTGCATCGGTGCCCATGAGCCCGTTTCCCGCTCTGCCCATCCAATGTCAGCCAACCAGGCCCTTCCTGAATGCCGGCTCCCAGGCAGGCGTGTGGGAGTCCAGAGACAGTAAGACAGGAGCACAGCCAGCTGGGGGCGGGTGTGAAGAAGCAGCTCAAGGTAGTGCTGCCAGGTGCCCCCTGAGTGGTGCAGACAAGGCATTCTGCGGGAACTGGAGGAAAAGGCATTCTTGGGGGCTGGTGGGCAGGGGAGGCATTTTCTGAAGAGCTGAGAGGTGACCTTTAAGGATGGTGGGGGGGACAGCCAGTGAGGCGTGAGCAAAGGCCCCTCGTGGGAATGCGCACAGCACGTCTGGAGATTTGAGTAGCCCAATGCAGCTGGCTGGGGAGGACTAGGTGGGTTTGTGGGATCTGGAGGAGGGAGCTTTAATATCAGGTTAGGGAAGTGCCTCTCACCTACTCAGTCAGGCCACAGACCCTAGGCTCATCGAAGCCAGACCTCACCAGGCAGAGGGGAATTAAGGTTCTAGAGAATTCTTTTCTGGCTCTTTGAGGGCAGCAGAAATTCTTTTTATTTTTATTTTGTTTTGCAAATATGTATTTTTAAAACTTAAAAAAGCTATCAATGACATGCACGCCATCTACAAAGTGGAACAGCACCAATATCGGCCTGTTAGTGAAACAGTGAGTGTCTGCCCGACCTCCCACCACAGTCCTGCTCCCGAGGCGCAAAGCTGCTGACTCTCCTCTGGGCATGCGCTTCCGGAAATGTAAATTACTAAGTGAGTTTCTAAATACATTCTTCTACTGCTCTTTGTTGATTTTCCGATTTTGACATTGGCTACTTTCTTCTTATCGGAAGAAACGTCCTTTAGTTTATTAGTGTTTGTTTTATTATTCGTAATAAATATTGCTCACTGCTGAGCCAAGCCGGGCATAACAGTTACACTTTCTTGTGCAACTTCTTCTCTTCCTGGTGGTCACATGGCCTCACTTTTAGGGGGATGCTTTGCTTTCTGTGATGTTTTTACAAATTCTTACCAAATCCTCTATCAAATTGTAAAATTCCTCCAAATAGCACTTTCACGTGGCCAAAGCTATTGGGGACCCTCTGGTTTCCATCTCCCCCAGCCAGGGGCCCTCTGGGAGCGCCCACCCTCCTGCTCCCCTTGAAACGCTTGCAGAGCCCCTGCGCAGCTGAGTGCCGGGGAGACCCCGTCTCTCTTAAGTGTCACCCTCCCCTCCAATTTCTTTGCTCCTCTCTCTGGGTTTCTTTGAGAAAGGGTGCCGAGAAGGTTAATTTTTTTGAGACCCTGCATGTTTGAAAATGGTTTAATTCTATTCTCACACTTGATTAGGAGTTTGGCTGGGCAGAGCGTTCATTCGACATTAACATCTTCCCCCTCAGGGCCTCGGAGGCAGTGGTTCTACTGTTTCAAACGTCCAATGTTGCTCTTGAAAACTCTCCCCGACCCTTTGTGTGACCCCTGCTTGCTTCTTCTCTGGAAGGTGCTAGAATAATCTCTTTGCCCCCATCGTGTGGACACTTCACAGTCAGATGCCTTGGTGTGGGGTTCTTCCCCCATCCATTTTCCTGGCACTCAGAGGCCTTTTCTACCTGAAACTCAGACCTTCGGCTCTGGGAAATATTTGTTTTTGTAATTCTCCCCTTCCCCCCCATCATTTTCTCCCTGTTGTTTTCTTCGTTCTTTCTCACTAGTCGATGTGGACTCTTCTGACGGGATCCTTCACTGTTTACATCCCTCTCGCCTGCTCTACTTCCTGGGACATTTCCCAGTGTTTCTCCCACCCATCTGTTAATTTCAGGCTTTGCCTCTTATAGTTTTAATTCCAAGAGCTCTCTCTCTTTTGTTTTTCCATTGCTCCTTTCAAAAGAACTTCTTGCTTTTTCATGGATCCAACACCTTACTTCTCTGAAGAGATTAATGATAGCGTTGTAAAGTTTATTTTGTCCCTCGTTCTTGCATTACCTCGGTTCCCCTGAGTTCGTTAATATTTGTATATCCTCTTTCTTTTCCCTTTGTAATCTTCCCCAAGGGACCGGTTGCCCTTGGGCTATCGATTCATACGGAAGGGTCCAGTTGTGCATATGGATTTTCAACGTACAGGGTTCATTATAGAGTGGCCAGTTGGGGACCCAGCCATTTTGTTGGGGTACTCCCAACCAGAAGTATCTGCAGAGCTCTTTCTGGGACCCGTTTCCAGTCCAGGGCTGTGGAGGGTGCAGGGAAGGGGCACCTGGGTGACAGTTCTTTCAGAACCAAGTGGCAGAGGGGACAAGGGGTTTCCAAAGATCCATTCATAGACTTCCACCTAACCCCCCAGTTGGAGCATGTGCTGTGCCCTGCCCTCCTGTATTGGAACCTCTCTGGCTCAGTTTCCCCACAAAATGTCAGGATGAGGGGAGGAGCCCCAGGCAGAAGTGCTCCTCATACAGACTTGTAACCAGCCTCCTGTTCTCAGCTCCAACCTCTCTCCGGCCAGTAGCCTCCAACTCCTGACCCTCCCAGCACCCGTGGCTAGATCTGTCCCCCTTCTTGCTGACTGTCCCTTTGGTTAGAGCTTGGTTTCTGATTTCTCAGCTCTGCTAATTCCTCCCCTGCTTTCCAGCTTCTAAAAGTGCCTATTCTCTCTGTCCTTGTCTGCGGATCTGCTCTTGACTCTTTTGCTCTCATTCCAGCGGGGTTTGGGAAGGAGCCGAACCTGCCATGTTTAGTAGGAAGCTCTTACAAACCTTCCTGAAGGGCTGAGTCCTCTACCTGGCCTTGCCGAAGGTCTCCAGTGCCGAGAGCTACTTCTTTGCTCCTGGAGAATTTGTAAGGCCTTCTTGTCATCAAGGTCAATGTCATTTAGAAAAGTAATGGAGACTCGAGTCAATGCAGCCTGAGCCCAGCTTACTCCTAGAAATGGTTGCTTTTAAATAAATTATAATATTATATTACATTGTTTAATGATTATTTATGTGGTTAGTTTTGTTCTTAAAACTGCATGGAAAACAACTTCTGGTTGTGTTCTCTCTGGACATGAGGGATCCCTGCGGGCTGGGTCCTGGCTAGCCAAGGCTGAGGTTCAGAGCTTAGTTAGGCTGGACTTGGGGTTCTCTCTGCAGCATCTATTAGGCAAGGTAGTGAGGTCAAGAGGTTGCATGGGAGGGGTCTGATTCAAGAAGCCAATCTGCCTCAGGGATCTTAAAATCCCTTAACACATGTGTTAATTGTTAAAAGGGTACTTACCTATTCAATAAAGAAAGCACCCCTCTCTCCTCTAACACATAAGGCACAGGGCCTTTACTTGGCAGCATTAAAGATGACCATATGGATATAAAAGGGATGACACTGCTGTGTGCTAATAAAGGTCTTGAGTTTCACCACCTGCAGCGTGTCCCCTGGGCGGTGTCAGCGTCCGCGTGGGAGGGCGCAGTGCTGGTCCTCATGGAGTCTTTTCTCTGTCCTTGCCTCTCCAGGTGCCCCCTTTCAAAGGTCTCAGCATCCTCACGCTACCTCCTGCCGCCACTTCCACCTGGGCCCCCCGCAGCCGCAGCAGCTCGCGCCCGACTTCCCCCTGGCACACCCGGTGCAGTCGCAGCCGGGCCTCAGCGCCCACATGGCCCCGGCCCACCAGCACAGCGGCGCCCTGCACCAGTCGCTGACCCCGCTGCCCACCCTGCAGTTCCAGGACGTCACAGGTCCCTCCTTCCTACCTCAGGCCCTGCACCAGCAATACCTCCTGCAGCAGCAGCTCCTGGAAGCCCAGCACCGCAGGCTGGTCTCCCATCCCAGGTGGGTGCTTCCTGGGGTGGGCCGGGGGCGGGGCGAGGGCGGGGCCAAGGGCAGGGCCGCAGTCGCAGGGCGGGTCTGTGCAGGGGCAGCTTTTGCTCCCTTTGGAGGAATTCGTTCAGGCTGTGAGTACTACCTCGACTCCACACAGGCTCCCTCCGAAGCTAGTGTGTGTCCCTGTCACCTTGACCAGGTACAGGGACAGGAGCTGGGTAACTGGTGGTCAGTGATCCTTACAATGGGATTTTGCAGGTTGTGGGAGATTTGACTGGGTGCCCTTCATATGCCCACTAGCTCCCTGATCACCTGGTTCTAAAACCCAAGACCCCTAAGGAACACCAAAGGACGTGGCTGGTTCAGCCCTGCCTTCAAAGAGCCCCCTGTCTGGTTGGAGAGACCAGCTATGAAGCAAATGGAGAGTTAAAGTTAGACAACACTAGTCAGAGGGTCTGAAGGAGCTGGGGAATCCCGTGCAAATCCCTTCCCCTCATGAGCCTCAACTGTCAAGAGAAAGAGTTGGACTAGCTCAGTGGTTCTTGAGCTCCTGTGTTTATGGTTGTGACTACTGATACTCATTATGTTCAAAATTAAAACAGAAATTTAAAAACTATTAATTCATTAAAAAATAACAACAACGAACTCATTATATGTTAACACCAATAATATACTTTTGAAAAATAGCTATATATTAATGTGGTAAGAAGAGTGACCCTTTTTCTTTTTTAGAACATATTTGCAAATCTCTTTAATGCCTGGCTTTATAGAAGACACCTGTGTTCTCATGTCGCCTTCTGCTGCAGAATCACATGTCACATAGTTACTGGAAATCTCCAGTGTTCACTTGTGAGAGAATGAAAAAAGTAAATATCATCATAGTATTATTATGAAGATAGTTTTGAGCTCACAAACCCTACGAAGGGATTCCCAGGGGTGCTGGCAACACACTTTGAGAACCTCTGGACTAGATGATGTCTAAGGCCATAAGCATCCATAACTGTAGGGGTTGGGGGCCTGGGAGATGAATATTGCAGGAGGTCATAGGGAGGAGATGTCACCATGACTGGAGTGTTCAGGGAGACCTTCCTGTAAGAGGTGGCTTTGACCTGGGCTGTGAAAGCTGGGAAGAGTGTGAACAAGGGTGAAGGAGAGAAGAGCATGATGGGAACAGAGGGTGCACAGAGATGGGAGAGCCTGTAGGAGACAGATCTGAGTATGTTGAAGACAGACCACCAAGGACAAGGGGAGTAGGAGAAGGAGCAGAAGAGACAGAGAACCTGGGTGGGGCAGGTGACCTGCAGTAGACAAACCCAGGAAGAGGCCTCAGTACAGTGGGCAGCTGGAGAGAGCAGGAATGTCTGCGTTATTGGCTGCTGTCCAGCTGGGAAGCTTCCTTAGAGTTTGGGAAAAGGGGCAAAGCCCACTGCTCTGTAGGCCGGCTGGGGCTGCTCAGAGCTCCTGGGAGCTGGGCTGGCCCTGGGCAGCCCTGACTCCATGGGACCTCCTTCCCTTCTGGTGCAGGCGGAGTCAGGAGCGCGTGTCTGTCCATCCCCACCGACTCCACCCCAGCTTCGACTTTGGCCACCAACTCCAGACACCTCAGCCCAGGTATTTGGCTGAGGGCACTGACTGGTGAGTCTTTGAGGTCCCTGGGAGAGGGAGGGTGGGTGGAGGGTCTTGCCTGATCCATGGAGTTCCTGTTTCCTTCACTTCAATGGTGCAGGAGGCCTGGTCTTCAAGCCCCAGGCTTTGCCCCTGTCCCTAGTCACCCTTAGGGGAAAATGGCCCCCCACTGGTCCTGGTCCTGACAATTAGCTCAGATGTGGCTGGGTGTCCATGTACCCAGACTGGGGCTCAGTGCTCATGCTCCTGCAGGGGGTGATGGGAACAGACACAAAACATTTTCTAAGTTCATTGAGGGCTAGGAACCAGTGGTCCTTGGGAAGGGAGCAGAAAGAAGAGTCTCAGGAACTAGAGTAGTCAGGGAAGACTTCCTGGAGAGAGTAACATCAAGGAATCCACAGAGAAGAGCCAGTAAAGAGACAGAGCCAGCCAGATTGGAGACAAGGATTGAGGGGAGAAGCTGGGGAGAGAGCTTGAGGGTGGTGTAGGCACGGGCCCCTGTGAAGTCTTTCTGCAATCTCCTGCACTTGGGATGGAGGTCTTTGTTGCTGTGGGATGTAGTGTTGTTTCGTTTTGGATCCTTGGTTCATCAGACTCTCTGATTAGAGGTCTAGTCTAAATTCGGGTTAGATCTGAACACCCAAATACTAAAAAGACGTGCAGTTCCCTAAAGTAGTTTGAGGTAAAGGGCATCATGCCTGCAACTTATTTTTAAATAGTTCAGAAAAAAATTCATGGAGAAGTGTCTGTGTGTATGTATGTATGTATGTATGTATGTGGGGAGGGGGAGAGAGAAATAGTAAAACATTAACACTTGGGGAATCTGGGATCTGGGTGAAGGGTATCCAGGAATTCTTTGTGCTGTTCTTGCAACTTGGAGGTCAAAAACTTTTTTTTTAGAAGAATGTAGAAACAGCCATACAAAACCCCAGAAAACCCTCAATGGGAAGGATGGACTATTAAACAAAATAGACGTGCAGTTTTGTCATTTCTCAGCCATTTAGTCACACACACTGGCTTAGTCCAGGGTTGTTTTGGGAGCAGCCTAGGACTGGACACCTAGGACTGATTCGAATGGATCGTTCTGGTTGATGGAAGGTGAACGGTGCTTCCAGGGGCAGGAAATCGTCGTTTCACCGTGTTCTGTTGTCCCCAGCCCCTGCTGGTTCTCAGGCACACTCTGTTAAATCGAACACTCCATTTAAAGACAGACTGCGTGGCGGCGGACTTCAGCCCAGCCTCTTCTAATTAGCACATTCAAATCAGGAAGATTTAATTGCAGTTTGGATTGAATTCTGTCCCTCAGCATCAAGTCAATCCAATTTAATTCAATCCAATCTGCATGGAGCACCCAGGGTCCTTGCATACGGCTGAGCAATCTGAACACACACGGGGTCCAACGTGGCCCGTGGGACTAGACAGGTGAACAAGTGACAATTGTCCTGGAGAGACTTCAGCGGGAGCAGGGCAGGCGTCAGGCACAGCCGCTTTCTTTATTTAGCCAAATCTTGTCACTCTTCTCACTCATTTCAATCACTCTGCATTTCTGACCCCTGTTTGTCTAGAGAAACGTGGAGACTGAGGCCCCAGAGGCTGGTCGGGGCCCCAGCAGGGGATGCTGGGAGGCCCCTGTCCTAAGCCCACCTGAACCCACTCCTGGGCCCTTTCTCCCTGTTCTGTGCCCCCCTCCCATGTACAGGAAGCCCTTTCCAGAGGAGTAGGCGACAATTTCTCCTCCTTTGTAATTAGCTCTGCTCCAGCAAGGGCCAGCCTCCTGTGACAAGTGGCCTTTTGTCATTGCGATCATGCCAATGGCATCCTGCCCCTCTTTCCCAGGGTGGCCTCTTCTGTGGGAGAAGCGCAGTGTGCAGATGAGGTGGCAGGAAATGAATTATAGGAGGGCTAGCCTCACCCTCTGCTAGGAGTCCTGGGAGGGAGGCGGTGGGGAATGCGTCTGCAAGCCCCTGCCTGCCCCTTTCCGTTAGAGAGCCACCGAGAGCACTGCATTCTGTCCCGAATCATTCCAGGGATTAAGGCGCCGCAACTGCCCTTGTCCAGCCTCGGGCTTTCCCTCTGACTTTGATATTTTATGTTATTTATTTATTTCTTTATTGATCTTTAGAGAGAGAGGAAGAGAGAGGGAGAGAGAGATAGAAACATCGATGAAAGAGAACCTCGATTGGCCGCCTCCTGCATGCTCCCCCCCTGGGGATTGGGCCCACAACCTGGGCATGTGCCCTGACTGGGAATCAAACCAGCAACCTCTTGGTGCATGGGTCGACGCTCAACCACTGAGCCACACCGGCCGGGCACTTTATGATATTTTAATTTTACCCAAGCAGCTTCTCTCAACGAGGATGCATGCTCTTTCTGGCCCAGGCCTGATAACCTGACCCTGACCCTGAGCCACCACTCCAGTGTCCCCATCCTCATCATGCTCCCTCTATGACTTAGTCCTGGCTTTGCAGTTCCAACTCTGACCCCCGGGCAGATAGCACCCTACTCTACCCCCCAACCCCAGCCCTACCAGGCAGAGGCCTCTGGCACCGGGCCTGTGAAGGAGGGAGGGGGGAGGACAGGAACCCCCTGGCTTTCCCCTGCCGGCAGCTGTGCCTCAGCAAAGCCCTGACTCGCCTTGGGAGTGAGCTCCTGCGAAGAACGTCAGGTTCCGTGGCGCAGCCAGGCTGCTCCGCGCTCCAAGGCCGCTGACAGCGGAGACCAATCTCAGATCCCTGTTTAGACACAACTGATGGAAGCTGTGCTTTGAGACAGCGTCCACGAGAAATCTCCAGGGCACTGGTCTGGGTAGCCCGGTGGCTTCAGGCCTTTGGGTTGTCTCTACGACCCCTTTCAAAACTCAGCCAGGTTCTCACAGGGCGGTGGCTGCAGCGGGCAGGTGGCAGTCGCTGCTTCTGCAGGGGCTGACGTCCCCTTGGGCAAGTGCCAACCCAGGCTCCTTTATTTAGGCTCTGAGCAGCACCTGCTGTTCAGGGACCCTGGGCTTAGGAAGGAATTTTCTGAGGGTAAGAGAGAACCCCGGAGCCCGCCCAGGCCCCACCTGGGCAGATCGTCCCTCTCATCTGAAGGCCAAGGTGCCTGTATTTCTCTAGTGAGCATTCTTGGAATTGGGCCAACTCTGTTCCCAGAACTTTGGGACTTGGCTTTGGTAGAATCCTCTGAATGTCTCTTTGCTGCTTTGAATCAGCTGGGTTCCCCAAGACTGCTGGGTAAATGCTAAGAGTCAGGGTGTCTGCACCATGAGGGTGCCCCGTGGAGTTCCTTCACTGAGGCAGGTCACAGGATGAGCTCAGGCAAGGGCCAGGAACCCCGGTGGCCTCAACTGGCTAGTCAGGGACTATGGGTAAGGCACTGTCCTTTCCGGCCTCAGATGGGCCTGAAGAAACGGAGGCTGGACTAGTGAATTTCTAAGTTTGCTTCTAACTAGTTCCAAGAGTTTAACCTATTTCCCAAAGGACATACTCATCAGGAGTTATTCTAGAGATCCAGGCTAATATAGGAATATATATATTATATTATATTTTTATCATGGCAGAAATTCCTTTAATACTATATGTGTATATATGTAATACATATTGAAGAAACCAGGTATTTTTTTCCTGTAGTTCCCCTCATCTGGATTTTGCTGGTCACACTCAGGTGGTATCACATACAATGCGCCTCGGTTTCGTATGTCCCCCACACATTGGCACTTAGATCAAGGCTTGAGCAGATCAGGTTCAGCTCGTATTTTTTGGCAAAAAATAATTGACAGGTGGTGTTGTTTTTCACCCAGGAAGCTGGTTGTCTCTCCTTCTGAGAGTTTCGTACTAATTTATGATCTTTGCCTGCAAGACCCGTTATTTCTTCAGGGTATACAAAAAGGAGATAGATAATCCAATCATTCCTTACTCATTTATTAGCTAGAAAACTTTTATAGAGAGAAATGTCCCTTCATCAACTACTTCAGGTTACCCTGAAGTGCAGTTAATAGAAGAAAGGCAAGAGAAATGCTTGGTTTTCTCCCTTTGCGTAGTTTCAGCATGAGGAGGTGGTTCCCTGGCATCCTTCAAAGGGACCGATTTTCCTTAGCATCAGTTCACTCTGGTGGGTTTGTACCTGTTTGGAGTTTCAGCCTATTGCAGTGATGCTCATTGACATACAAACGTCCAAACTGTGGCCGCTTTCAACCCCTTCAGGATGGTTTTGATAGGACCCTGGTAGTGTTTTCAGTTATGATAAAATGTTGCACTCAATCTCATTTTGCACATTTCATGCTCCAGACCTAAAATTAGCCATTTTCCCAAGGAGCCCTGGTTCTTCTTCAGTTGCCTTAACTGATCGATTTTTCAGTAAAATAAAATTTCCTATACTGTTAGGAGTGGGGTGGGGGCCGTGGTCCAGGGTAACTTGTCCTGCCTCACAGCTGTTGAGTTCCTCGTCTCTTGTTTCTCCAGGGGGTAGAAGCATGGCCTCTGCCTCCTCCGCTTTATTCGGACCTTGTCTTTGCTCTGAATCCTTTACCAGCTGTATTTGGAATTTTCTTTTGCCATTTCTCTTGGGGTGGGCTGTGTCCTGGGACGGTGCTTAGGTGCATTTGTTTTATTTTATTTAAAAGTTTTTTTTTAATTGATTTTTAGAGAGAGAGGAAGGGAGAGGGAGAGAGAGATAGAAATATCAATGAGAAAGAACATTGATTGGCTGCCTCCTGCCTGCCCCACACTGGGGATCAGGCTCACAACCTCGGCATATGCCCTGATCGGGAATCAAACTGACGGTCTTTGGTGCATGGGTCAATGCTCAACCTCCGAGCCACACTGGCCAGGCAGGTGCATTTGTTTTAAGAAGTTGCATGAGGTCTCAACTGCTCTAGCCCCTTCAGACCTTGCAGAGCTTTTCTTCGCTGAGTCTCATTTCCGTCTCTATAAAGGGAGGGGACAGGTGAGCTGAGGTCCAGTTTTTACAGCTCTGGCCGTTTGTGATTCTGGTTCTACACCCTGGGCTTGATGTCTGAAGTCCCTTCTGTAACCTGACGGCTGAGTCACTCACCTGTGGCTCACTGTGGCTGTGTCCCTGCAGGGATCTCAGTGTGGACGCCGGCTTGAGTCCTGCTCAGTTCCAGGTGCGGCCCATCCCTCAGCACTATCAGCATTACCTAGCAACGCCTCGAATGCACCACTTTCCCAGAAACTCCTCCTCCACGCAGATGGTGAGTGACAGGCTCTGCCCGGAAACTGACTCCTGCTGCCTGTGGGGGACTCGGTGGGCTGAGTCCTGAGGTCCCCTTGTGTCCTGTTCCCTGTGTCCTGCTCCGTGTATCCTTCTCCCTGTGTCCTGTTCCCTGTGTCCTGCTCTGTGTTTCCTGCTCTCTGTGTCCTGCTCCATGTCCTGCTCCACGTGTCCTGCTTCGTCTGTCCTGCTCCATGTGTCCTGCTCCATGTCCTGCTCCATGTGTCCTGCTTCGTGTGTCCTGCTCCATGTCCCGCTCCCTGTGTCCTGTCCTGCTCCATGTCCTGCTCCACGTGTCCTGCTTCGTCTGTCCTGCTCCATGTGTCCTGCTCCATGTCCTGCTCCATGTGTCCTGCTTCGTGTGTCCTGCTCCATGTGTCCTGCTCCCTGTGTCCTGCTCCATGTCCTGCTCCATGTGTCCTGCTCCGTGTGTCCTGCTCCCTGTGTCCTGCTCCATGTCCTGCTCCCTGTGTCCTGCTCCATGTCCCGCTCCCTGTGTCCTGTCCTGCTCCATGTCCTGCTCCACGTGTCCTGCTTCGTCTGTCCTGCTCCATGTGTCCTGCTCCATGTCCTGCTCCATGTGTCCTGCTTCGTGTGTCCTGCTCCATGTGTCCTGCTCCCTGTGTCCTGCTCCATGTCCTGCTCCATGTGTCCTGCTCCATGTGTCCTGCTCCCTGTGTCCTGCTCCATGTCCTGCTCCATGTGTCCTGCTCCGTGTGTCCTGCTCCATGTCCTGCTCCATGTGTCCTGCTCCGTGTGTCCTGCTCCCTGTGTCCTGCTCCGTGTGTCCTGCTCCCTATGTCCTGCTCCGTGTGTCCTGCTCCCTATGTCCTGCTCCCAGGCTGGCCAACTGCTCCCTTCCCCTCCCACCTCTTATTCCCACTCTGACTGGAGGGCCCTGTTGGGCTGGAAGCTGTACTGCTGAGAGGACAGGGTGGGGCATGGAGGATGGAAAGGGGTGGCTGTCAGGTGTGGACTGTGGGGAGAGAGAGCAGGCAGGGAGGTCCCTGGGCTCTGTATGACCACACTTAGTTGATTTCTCAGGGTCAGCACCACTCTGGGCATTCGTTTTACTTATCTGTGAAATGGGGTGAAGACACCTGCCTGGTCCATCTCATAGGACTGGTGTGAGGAAGCAGAGAGACCCCAGAGGTAGCCCTTGGCCTGGCCTGCTGACCCAGTGTGCTCTCTGTAGGGGGATGGGCGACTCATCCCTGCAGGTGCTGGGCCTGCAAAAGGGGCAGGTTGGGTCTGGAGGCATCGCAAGCTGCATGGGATGAAGGTGAAGATGTTCCATTAAAGTAGTAAATAATAATAATAATGATAAAAATAATAATGATAATAATAATAAAGCAAAAGACTGGAAGTCTTCTTATTCCCAGGCAGCATCTTCATGTTGCTGCCCCACAGCTAACTCCTGCCAGCCCTTGACTCTGCCTTAACCACCCAGCGCCTCAGTCTCCCTGTCCGGAAAGCGAGGGGCGTGGCCAGCAAGCTCGGCAGTCGCTGAGGCTGTGACTCGTGTGGAAAGCATCATTTCCTGAGAATAAAAGCTGACATGTATTGAGCATTTGCTGCATGGCAGGCACTGTTCGAGCACTTTATTTTTTATTTTATTTTATTTTTTTTAATCCTCATCCGAGGACATTTTTCAATTTTTTGTACAGACAGAGTGGGAGGGAGAGAGAGGAAGACAGAAAGAGGGAAACATCGATGTGAAAGGGACACATCGAGTGGCTGCCACCCGCACGACCAACCAGGGCCGGGGACAAACTGCAACCGAGGTACATGCCCTTAGCAGGAACCGAACCCGGGCCTCTCCGGAACGCAGGCGGACGCTCTAACCGCTGAGCCAAACCGGCCAGGGCTGTTCGAGCACTTTACATCAATCAGTTCATGCGAGCTTCTCAAGGACCCCGCACGAAAGGGCAAACTGAGGCAGAGAGGGGTGAAGTAACAGGCTGCGGTCAGGCAGTGAGTAAGATGAGGGGCTGTACCACCCCTGGCCCTCACACCTGGGCCAGGGCGAGGTGCGTGAGGCAGTGCCATGTATGTACAGGGCAGATCCTCTGTTTAACATTTTGACATTTTATTAATTACACATTTTTATATTAATTTTGATTTTAAAAATATCGCATTAAAATGTTCTTTGTCTTGCCCGGCCAGTGTGGCTCAATGGATTGAGCGTGTCCCATGGACTGAGAGGACCCTGCTGGATTCCCAGTCAGGGCACATGCCCAGGTTGCAGGCTCGATCCCCAGTAGGGGGCGTGCAGGAGGCAGCCGATCTATGTTTCTCTCTCACATCAATGTTTCTCTCTCTCTCTCCCTACCTCTCTCTCTAAAACATCAATAAAAACACATTTAAAAAGAAAATTCTTTGTTTTGGTCACTGAGTCTTTTGGTTGTGCCCCTCCTTAAATGGTGTGCCCTCCCTTACCCACCTTGGTCGGGCAGTGCGGAGTTGAGGGGAAGGGAATCGACTCTGCTCCCCCCAAGTGCCTGGGTTTGATATGGTGGTTCTGCCACTTGGTTGCATAAGTTGGGCCACTTACTAAATCTGTCTGTGTCTCATTTACCCTATCCATAAAATGGGGATAATATTCGCACCCACATTACAAATCAGATGAGGTCATTAAATTTGTTAGTTGTCTGAAGGGCTTAGAACAGTGCCTGGCATGAAATACATGCCCCATCAGGTTAGGTGTTACCTTTTTAATGTTGTTATTCTTTCTGGGTCTGGCCCGGTGCGAGCTTGGTTCTTGAGGAGGTGAGGGAGACCTGGCAGCAGGAAATGGCACTTCTGCCTGAAGTTTCTCAGGATGCGCAGATGGGTGGTTATGGGAGGAGGAGGCAAACGCTGGGCTCAAGGAGCCTCGAATCTTATCTGAGGCATTTTCTTCCCAACAGGTCGTCCATGAAATCCGAAACTACCCTTACCCTCAGCTTCACTTCCTTGCTCTCCAGGGATTGAACCCCAGCAGACACACGTCTGCCGTGCGGGAGAGCTATGAGGTACGCCCACACCTGTCTGGGAATCCTCCTGCCAGCCTGGCTCCATCGGGGTTGGTGGAGAAGCAGTTATCACTCATCACTGCCATGTATTGTGTCCTCTCTCCTTTTTCCCTGCTGGTGGGCAGGGCATGGGTGGGGTAGGAGGAGCCTCGGGTTGAGAGGAAGAGGGAGAAAAAGAGAGAGCCAGTAGAGATATTTCGTTCTTTCAGACTAGTTCCTCGTGATGGCTGTGTGAGTGCTTCCTGCTAACATCTTTCAGTGTCTCTCTTTCTTATCACATGTGCCTTTGCCACATGAGTGCACACGTCCATATTCTTCTCTTTGCAGGAGCTTCTGCAACTCGAGGACAGGCTGGGGAATGTGACTCGGGGTGCTGTACAGAACACCATTGAGAGGTTCACCTTCCCCCACAAGTACAAGAAGGTAAGTCACCCAGCGGGCCTGCCTGCACAGCAGGGGTGGGGGTGGGGGGCATAGGTTGTTTAGCTGACCTTGGCCTGGTTGTCCAGAGAGAGGCACAGTCCAAAATTTAGAATTCTTTGCTTTGGTTAGATGCTCTGAAGCTGAGATACCTTCCCAGGGTCTTCTTTCTTGCCTTTGTCAGGTGTGACCAGTAGGCGAGATGGCAGCCTCTCATCAGTAAAGGGGGAGGCTGGGTATGTGTGTGCAGGTGGACTTGTGAGTAGGTGTATTAGGAAGGTGTACAGAAGGCTAAGACTTGCCTAGAAAAGAATTCAGTTCCAGTCTCACATGTGGACTAATGGGCAAGTAAGGTTTCAGTGTAGCTTTTCCAGTTCTCACTGAGCATCAGGATCACCTGGGGAGCTTTTAAAGCCACAGATTCACAGGCTCTACCCTAAGCCTACAGGGGTAGACTCTCCAGTCTTATTGCCAGGAATCTGAGGTGGTGTTAGAGGCCAGGAATCTAAGTTAAAATTTTTTAATTAAACTTTTAAAAAAGTGAAAGCAGCCCTGGCCAGTTTGGCTCAGTGGTTAGAGCGTCAGCCTGTGGTTCAGAGAGACCTGGGTTCGATTCCCACTGGGGGCACGTACCTCAGTTGCAGTTTGTCCTCGGCCCTGGTTGGGTTGTGCGGGTGGCAGCCACTCGATGTATCCCTTTCACGTTGATGTTTCTCTCTCTTTTTCTCTTCCTCTCTCTCCCTCCCACTCTATCTGAACAAAAAAATGGAAAAATGTCCTCAGGTGAGGATAAAAAAAAGAAAAAAGTGAAAGCAACTAAGATGTCCCTCAATAAGTGCATGGGTAAACAAACTGTGTTTGTTTCATTGTATATCCATACAATGAAATATTATTCTGTGATCAAAAGAAATGAACTATTAAGCCATGAAAAGACATGAAGGAACTGGAAATGCATATTACTAAGTAGAAGAAGCCAGCCTGAAAAAGCTGCATACTACACCATTCCAAATATATGACGTTCTGGAAAAGGCAAAACTAGAGACAAGAAAAAGATCAGTTATTGCCAGGGGCTTTAGGAGAGGGAGGGAAGAGTGGATAGGTGATTCAGGGGGGACTTTTAGGGCAGTGAAACTGTTTTGTATGATACTGTCATGGTGCACACATGACAATATGCATTTGTCGAAATGCATAGGACTGTTTAACTAAAATCGCAAACCCCCATGTAATCTAATAGACTTCAGTTAATTATAGTGTATCACTACTGGTTCATCGTTTGTAAAAAATGTATCACACTAATGCAGTAGGTTAATAATAGGGCAAACTGTGTGTGTTGAGAGGCAGAGGGAAATGAGAACACTATATTTCCTGCTCAATTTTTATGTAGACCAAAACTGCTCTAAAAATAAAGTCTGATATAAAAACAAATAAATGAAGTATTTTTAAAAATCTAAGAATTGAAAACTAGACAAGCACTGAGAATCTTAGAGCAGGAACCCTCCGTGTGGTCAAGCCAGAGCCTATATTCACCTCCTCCCAAGGCCCTAGGATACAGTGTTTATGAGCTTAGGTGTTGGAATCAGACAGTTTTACATTTTAGTTTCATTACTATCTCAGTCAGTTTGGGCAGCTATAACAAAATACCATCAACTGGGTGACATTTAAGCCAAGATGGAGGCACTGGCAGACCTGGTTCTTGGTGAGGGCTCTCTTCCTGGCTTGCAGACAGCTGTGCTCTTGCTTTGTCATCACCTGCTGGAGAGAGGAAGCTCTGGTGTCTTTCTCTTCTAATAAGGGCACTAATCCCATCATGGGGCTTCACTTTAGGGACTTGACCTAAACCTAGTCATCTCCCAAAGGCTCCATCTCATATCATCACATTGGGGTTAGGACTTCAACATCTGAATTTGGGTGGGCGGGGGCACAGACATTCAGTCAGTAATTACCACGTATAGCCGTGTAACTCTGAACAACTTCCCTGGCTTTGCTGGCCCCTCCCCTGCCCCTTTGGATGTGAGGTGGGAATGATGTATCAGTAGCTACCACATGGGGTGCTCTGAGGAGTCAGAGGACAATGCACAAGCTCAGCAGGAAGTGGTGAATGCTCAGCAGTGGTGGACCGCTCCCCTGGATGTGAGGCTCACTTGTTCTAGGCCCGTGGAGTCAACATCAAAGACCATGAATCTTGGCCTGTGCACTTCCTCCCAGAAGCACTTTATCCAGAAGTGATCTCAACCAACATTTGAGTACCTACTACGTGTCAGACATGGATAGTGGGCTAAAAGAGGAAATGACAGTAATTCGGTAATTAAGGGTATATCATCTGCATGGAAAATGATCATTCTCTGGAGAGAGAGCTTCAGGTTACGGGAGAAGAACATGGGAGGGAATGAGGTGTGTGCGGGAGCCTGGAGCACTTCTGCGGCCCTGACCGGGTGCGCTCACTCCTGCCAGGGCCACACCCTCCACCTGCCATCATTGCAAGAGGCCCCGAGGAAATAAGGAAAAGAACAAATACGAAGAATGAAAAGGAAAAATCAGTGAGATAGAGAGTTGAGTTAAAATTTATGAGAATAAAGGGAGAATTGGGGGAATAAGACATTATAAAAAAGCAATAAGAGTAATTAAAAATGAGAAATGATAAAGCTTAGGATCTCCATTAAATGTAAAATACACTTTAAATTTTTTAACAGAGTAAAATAATATTTTTTAGAAAGGGTGTTTTGCCCTGGCCGGTTTGGCTCAGCGGTTAGAGTGTCGGCCTGCGGTCCAGAGAGACCCGGGTTCGGTTCCCGCTAAGGGCATGTATCTCGGTTGCAGTTTGTCCCCGGCCCTGGTTGGGTTGTGCGGGTGGCAGCCACTCAATGTGTCCCTTTCACGTCAATGTTTCTCTCTCTCTCTCTCTCCCTCCCACTCTATCTGAACAAAAAATGGAAAAATGTCCTCGGGTGAAGATTAAAAAAAAAAAAAAATAGAAAGGGTGTTTTAAACTAGGAAAGATATAAGAAGAAAAATACAGAAAAATACATAATCAAATAGAAAAATATAAAAGAGGAAGAATTAGGAAAAGGTATGAAAACAACATAAAATTGAAATAAATAACATCAAAGTGAAAAGGAATGTTAATGAAAATGAGAAATAAGGGCAAAGGGGATAAAATAATATTAAATTCTGAAAACAGTTAAAATAAAAGTTACATAGATATCAAAAAGACAAAATCCAGAAAACCTAAAAGATTAAAAATACAAACCAAGAAACAGAGTAAGTTTTGAAAAGAGATAATGGTTTAAAGAGGTATAGAATAGATGTGGAAAAACGAGGTATGACTATTACGTTAAAATTATTAAATATAAAAAGAAAATGATGAATAATGGTGGGGGAAAAAAACAATAGAAAATAAGCAAGGAGTTGGCTGAGTCTTGATGATATCTTTTCTTGAACTTTTCTTTCTTCCCAGGCTAATAAAAGCAGGCCACTCCTCCAGCAAACACAAATGGGCTGTTAGGCGGGCAGATCATCATGACTCCATTCATACTCAAAAGCCATGACAATTACATGGGTCTAGGGATGTAATCCTGATTTTCTGCATTCTGGATAAGGGAAAATTATTGCAGTTGCCTGGTATGGTTTGCAGTGGGATGTAGAGCACAGGGAGCTTAGAGCAGAAGGCCTGGGTATTCTTACATGTTCCAGTGAGGTTACAGTATTCTCCAGACGAATCAGACTAGGAGCTTAGGACCAGGGACCAGAGTGGGGAGACCCGGCATCTAGGCCTGGCCCCAAGGTCATAGTCATTCTCTGGTTGTGGTTTTCATTTCAGGTCTCCCCAGATTTTCCTCTTGGCAAAATGACCTTCAGGTCTGCTTATCTCTGGAGAGAGGAGAGAAGGGCTAGTTTTCTTCCTATGGATATTATCAGATTGTTTCACAGCACAGCTTGGAGATGGCAACTTGAAAGGTAGCTGTATTCCGCCCTGGTCGGTTTGGCTCAGCGGTTGGGGCATCGGCCTGCGGACCAAACAGTCCCAGGTTCGGTTCCCGTTAGGGGCATGTACCAAAAAAAAGCAAGAAAGGTAGCTGTATACTATTCACTGATCACATTCCTTCCTCCCCAGAATATTTATTTTTTTAATTTTATTTTATTAAAAAAATTTTTTTTCTTTATTGATTTTAGAGAGGGAGAGATAGAAACATCCATGAGAGAGAACATTGATTGGCTGCCTCCTGCATGCCCCCCACTGGGGATTTGGCCTACAATCTGGGCATGTGCCCTGACCAGGAATCAAACCGGGGACCTCTTAGAGCATGGGTCAATGCTCAACCACTGAGCCACACTGGCCAGGCCCCAGAATATTTATTAAGCATCTTTGATGTACCTGTACTTGGCCAAGGGTGAAGTGATACCTAAAGAAGAGTGAGCCACAGTCCATGCCATCGAACTTGAAACTTCCCACGTTGTAGTTAACTCTTTTCAAATAATTATCATAGAATTTAAAACAGGACAATTAAAGTGAATAAAGTATAAACAGAGTACCTGCATGGTGACTAATCTCATGTTGGAACTAGTGCCTACCTTAAAGGAATTTCTGAATAGGAAGAGAAACCCAACAATATAAAATAACAATGTGGTACAAATTACAGATGTTAATGCCAGGTTGAGGATTTTTGCCTCTATCTAGTAATGAATGAAAAAAATGGAGAAACATTTGTAAGTGGAAGGCAGGAAGGGGGGAAGGCAGGAAGGGGGAAGGGAGGAAGAAAGGAAAAATAGATGAATGAATATATGGATGGATGGATGGATGACACATGCTGGACCTGAAAGTGGAGGAGAAGTCTGGAGTCAGGGATCTGGGTTGGAAAGAGTGTAAGGAAGAGAGGACGGGATAAGGGGAACAGAAAAGGTGACGCTGTTTACGCACAGCTATGATTTTACAAAGGATTGATTCATTGGTATCCAATTCCTTTACAAACTCTATGCTCCTAGGACAGTATAAAGTTTATGCCCAGGACACCGATTGCCTGGAACAAGAATAATAAAGTTCACCCTCTGTATTCTGTAGTGAGGAGGAGGGGCTGGAGATCAGGCAGAGAAAGGTCTGGGAAGAGCACAGATGCCTGGATATTACTTAGGAGCTTACAAAGAGATGGCCTCACTGGGGGAGTCTGATGGGGGAAGAGTCTACAGGGGGGTGGGGCTCTGAATGAGAGACCCTGACCACCAGCTGAGTCTCCTCCAGGTAACAAATGCTTCTCCTTTGCTTCTCATAGAGAAGACCCCAGGATGGCAAGGGCAAGAAGGAAGAGGGGGAGGAGTCAGACACAGACGAGAAATGCACAATTTGTCTGTCTATGCTGGAAGATGGAGAAGATGTGAGGTAGGAGGCCGGCCCCTTGCATTCCCTCTCCCTTCCCTTGCGGGTACTGGCGATCAGTCACGTGCTGTGTATCGGGGTGGGGCTTACCTGTGAGTGTGTGCATGTCTGTGTGTGTGTGTGTGCCAAGTGTGCCATATGTGCTTCATGGTTGTTCTAGGAAGGTGGGGTGTGGAACATTCTCTATGTGTGGTGCCTATGGGTGTGGCCTCATGGATCTAAGTTTAAGAGAACAGCCTGATACTTGGCCTGGGTGGGTCTAGGACAAAGTCATGGCTTTGTTTCAGGCTGAACTGAAAGGGCCTCAGGTGGCAGATTTTGGGGCTCTTCTTCCTGCCATGACTCCCCATCCCAGCCACAGCCTCCCTCCATGGCGGAGCTCCCAAGACCCTCTTTGGCCAGTCTCCCAGTAGTCCTGGGTGTGAGTCTCCTGGTCCCTTGAGTAGCCATTATCCCTCTGCTCCTGGTAGAGCCCTGGGATCCCTCCCCCCTGTCACACCTCTGACTCTTCCCCTCTCTTCCAGGCGCCTACCATGTATGCATCTTTTTCACCAACTGTGTGTGGACCAGTGGCTCGCCATGAGCAAGAAATGCCCCATCTGCCGGGTGGACATTGAGACACAACTGGGAGCTGACAGCTGAGGAAGGAATTAGCCGGTGGATGCCCCATTTTCCTTCACCAGGTCCCCCCACGGCCATAGCCCTTGCAGCCAAACTTTGCCTTCTGAGCCATTGACGTAGAGGAGAAGCCTGCAAGCACATTTTGTGGAAGAGGAGTTGGTGGTATCAGTGTCTGAGGGAAAGGAAGGGCGGGGGAGGACCCACCCATCCGGAATGGTGACTGTCCCCATCTGCCTCGCTGCGCGGGAGGGAGGGAGCTGGCCGTGCCCGGAGCAGGGGTGGGAAGGGGGGGCCCACGCTGCTGAGAATCTAGACGAGATCCTGAGGTCCTAGCTGATAGACCGGCCCCTCAATCCTGTCCTTCGAAGGATTGTATATATACCTCTCGACCACGTAGAAACCATGTAGGGGTCTCTAGCTATTTCTGTGGATGGCAGCCGGAGCATGTTAGCTTAAGAAAAATGTTGTGTGTGGTGCTCTAGTCATCTTGTGGTGGACATGTCGCTATTACCGAATTCGCACCAAATATTTCTCATTGAGTTTCTTGTTTTGGTGCCTGACCGAACCAACCAACGACAGCCCAAACCTTCCCGTCTTTATGAGAGAAAAGGGAAAAGGAATCAAAAGTGAAAAAAAAAAAAAAAAAAGCCAAATCCTGTTTACGATGTAAAAAGGATGATTTTTTTTCACCCAGGTTGGGAGGTGGTGGTGGGGCAGGGGGGTGTCCTTGTTTTGTTTTCTGTTTTGGCTTTTCCCTTTGCTTTGGTTTTTCTCATGTTTACAATGCACGGAGCATGGCAGGGGGCATCTGGGAGAGGGAAAGACTAGAGGAGCAGCGGGTGGGGGTCTTAGATGGGCTTTGAGGGGCTCGGTTGGGGTCAGGAAGGGAGGTTGAGTAGGCAAGAGGAGAATTCTGTCTTGAAGGAGGAATCCTCCGTTCCGGAGCCCATCCACCTCGCTCCAGCCATCCCCCTGGTTCCACACTGAATGGGGGGTGGGGGCAGCCTTCAACTAAAGTTGCCACCAGGTTCCTCAGAGCCAGGATGCCCTTGCTCATGCCACCTCCTTTTCAGCTGTGCTCCTGCCCTGTCACAAAGAGACAATTTGGCCACTGCCTCCCTATGCAAAAAATGAACCAGATGATGAGGATAAGATGGCATAGGGGATGGAGAGCTAGTCTTGGCTGAAGGGCTCTCAGCTAGCACTCAAGGGCTGAGGCCAAATACTGCGGACCTTGAACTTCCTCTGGGATGGCTCAGATCTTGATGGAGTCCTTTGGAGATGGCCCTGGCCCTGAGACCCTGTTGGCTGGGTTTGGGAGGCACTGTGTACATAGCCTCTGGCTCTTTCTCTGCCTCTTTGATAACCTTGGGCAAGTCCCTTTCTTTCTCTGTGCCTCAGTTTCCTTCTCCTTAGAGTGAGGAGAAACAACAGTGCATCCCTATTTCCACTTCCTCTACCTCACCTAGCTGTTGTGAGGATTAGCACTATCTGCCCAGCACATCCACGCTCTCCTGGGAACCTCCTTGGGGTTTAGGGATGGGGGTGGTGGGAGAGACAGACTTGGGAGTTTCGGGTGACATCACACAGTGTGTCTTTCTGCACCACACCACAGTTTTTCGGAACCTCAACAGGAACAGAGAGATGGGAGAACAGAGGGATGGAGATGGGAAGAGGTACCAAATTCCACCAAATCCACCAATCCCAGTCCAACTTTCTTTATCTACAGGTGGAAAACACCAGCTCAGCTAGAATTCTGCTCTCTTCCTTTTCCCCTGCCCCTTCTCTCCTTCATTTGCACTGCTCTCAAAGCCCCCCCCCCCCCCAGTCTCAATGCTATTCTATCGATATGGGAAGACTAGGGGGGGGACAGGATATTTATCACATATATGAAGAAATTCTGGAAGGTTAAGAAAATTGAAGTCTGCATTGCTACTACAAAGGGTAAAACCAGGAGGCAGATTTTGGCTTGAGGTAGAACCTTCTGGCACAGCTGGAGAGATGGCCGCTCTGAACCCCTGCAGGCAGAGTGGGGGAGCTGGCTTCTGGTGGGAGGGCCACACAAGGATCTTAGACGGAGGCAATCGTTCCTGAGTGCCTGTCAATGCAGGTGCTGGGACAGGCACTAGCAGAGAAGACAATATTCCTGCTTTGAGGAGCTTGCACTGTAGCTGAGGAGCTAAGACACAAAGACTAGTCAAAGATGGCGAATAGTCTAATTCAGGGTTAATGGCAATGAGCTTGGCCTTGTCCTTTCGGTGATTCCAGTGAGTAAACTGTGTCTCTGGGGCTCAAGGCTGGAGACCCCACCAGTGTGGAAAGTACTTCTGAGTCAGGATTCCGGGGAAAGCTAGTTACCAGTTGCCCTGGGAATTTGGGAATTCTCCTCACCTTGCTTTGACCCACAGGTATCGAGGGTGGTCTAGGTCACTCCCCTCTTAGTTTGGGGCTCTTGTTCTTCTTTCTAAGGCTGGTTTGAAAGCTAGCAGGCAGAGGGAGTCAGTAGGGAGGCCAGATGGAGTGAGGCTGGCGTCCTGGGTTGCAGCCTCGACTCCTCACCCACAAAGCAGGTAGTGCTGGAATCCTGCCTATGCCCCGGCTTCGGCTCCCTCAGCTGCAACCCAAGGAGGCTGGTCGGAATGGATGCTTGCTCAATTTCCCTCCAACACCACGTGCTCTGATCTCCCTAACAGCGATACATCGCTCCAGTCACTAGAGCTGTGTGCCAACTGAGCTGTCGAAATGACTCGCTGTGGGCACCCATGCCATCTGCTTTAGAGGCTGAGAGTGGGATGTAGTCTCCTCCTCCTCCGGGTCATCTGCAGGCGCCTTGCGTGCCCCAGGCTAACTTCAGGCGGTGGGTGGGACCACCTGGAGAGAAGAGGTCAGCCCCTGGCTTTGGGGGTAGAGCCCGAGGCCCCCTTCCCCTCCCCATCTCTTTGGGGCCCTCTTACTCTGCAGGTGGGCGCAGGAGGTGAGGCGGACCCAGGCACCTCGCAGCTCCTTTAGCGGGGCAGCGGTCCAGCTGAGGGAGGACAGGGCGGCTGTGCTTCTGCTCCCTCGAGACCCCCTCCCCCATTGTCCGGGAGCCGGGAAGAGCGGAGAAGAGGCAGGCTCAGGCCTCAGCATCTCTCACCCACCATCTCCAGGAGGGGAGACCCCCTGTCCTTCTCCTGCTCAACTCAAGGGACTCAGACCCTTTCCTGACTGAGACGCAATGAGTGCCTTCTGAGGCGAGAGCTGCCCCAGGACCAAGCTGGGCCTCCTAGCCGCAGGCAGCCCCGGCTGCCCTGGGCCCACGAGGACACCGATCACGAGACCAACGCCACAAGCCCGGCCTGGTGGGCGGAGGGCGGGGCACAGGGCTCCTCCTCTCGCCGGACCGTGGGCCCTGCCGCCCGTGCCCACCACCTGTGGCAGGACTCTAGCTCCTCTTCTGCAAATGTTCCCAGCCTCCGTGCAAGTATTCTTAACTCTTTACGCCTAATGAACAAGCACAGTTTTTTCAATGGTGAAGAAAAAGCACCAGATTTTTTTTTTTTCCTGAAGAAATCCCCAAGCCCCCCGCCGGCCGGCGGGACACACACTCCCGCGTGGGGCTGTAGCAACGTCCGTCCGTCAGGTTCCCCCCTCGTGTTTCATCTCCTGCGCGTGCGTAGAGCAAATGCTAGAGCGATTTCAGCTGATAGAAAAACAAAAATGAAAAAAAAAAAAACACAAAAAACAAAAAACATGGCACGTTGCTAGTTTACAGGGTTTTGTGAGTTTAAATGCCTTATATTTAACAATCATAATTTATGACTAACTTGTAGATATTGTGGGTTCTTATTTAATTATTTTTATAGTTGTTTTGCATTTTTAATTATAATTTATTTATTTAGAAAGGATACTAATTTTTTTTATTACTCCTATTACCTCATTTTGGCGTTGTTTCTGGGAGTGGAATGCTTTGCATGCATTGGTACGATGACAAACAACTACGAATACAAAAAAAAATTTAAATTCCGCGAACTTTATTTCGTCCAAACTATCAGGGTGTGTGATTGCAAGCTGTCCTACTGTGGTGCTGGCCTCTTTGGATACATTCCATACGAAATGCAAACCTTTGATTCTGTATGCTGTGATCTAGTGAAAAACTCCAATATAGTGACTGTATTTAGCACATATATAAATATAATTTGCACTCGTCAGCAGACTGGGGTAATCCTTTCACTTGCTACCCTTACCCCCCTAACCCCGCTCCCCATCCCTAACCTGTTTTTCTTCTTCCTTTGCCCTTCCCACAACCTCAGCCCATCCTGCCTCCAGCATCTGAGGAGGTTCTGGGGCACTGGATGTCACTCTCTCCACCTGGGCTCCAAATCTCCCTGGTTCCAGAATGTTCCCTTCAGACAGGACCAGCAGGAGCCTCATTTATTAGAACGAGCCCTGACCACGGGATTAGGACGCTTGGGTATTCAGACCAGCTCTATTGCAAACTTCCCTGAGACCTTGAGTAAGTCACTGGGCCTCCCGGTGGCCCAGTTTTCTGGGCTGGGGGGCGGGAAGTGAGCTGGAGGGTCTCTAGGGTCCCTTGGACTCAGAGAGACTTTAACACAGATTGGGTGGGAGACCACCAAGCTGTGCTATCTCACCCTCGCAGGAGAGAAGAAAGGAAGGAAGAAAAGAGAGGAAAGAAAAGAGAAGAGAGTCGACAGAATATATCCGTGGATTTGCTCAAAGGAGACATCCGGAGAGTTTCTATCCTTTTACAGGCAGCACCCTGGGGTGACAGGGAGACAGGACAGGTGGATTCATCCCTGGACACGGGGCATGTGCTTTCCGTGTCTTGTTAGTTATGGGGGTGGGGTAAGCACCAAACCATGGTGTTTGCTATTGGCACCCCATCCTGTCACCTCTTGGAGACTTTGTTGCTGAGGCATCACCCTTGACAACAGATTGGGAGCGGATTTTAGACTCATGGTTTGTCCTCCCCAGCATCTCCTCTTTCACTCTCTGCCGCTGCCCCACGCCCGTGGGCC